TGTAAATGTATTTGTATTTATATTTTTTATTTTAATACCTTAACGAATTTTATTAAAAACATCCCTGAGGATGGTGTAAAATAACACCGAAACGTTGGCAATGATTTAAAATATAGTGTTCTTTTATTTATTGATCTTTATCCCACTAAAACCTTGACTTGGATAACTAATCAAGATCGCAAAATAGTGGAAACATAATAATAATAATTATTATTATTATTATTATTATTATTATTATTATTATCAGAGCAGATAAAAATCCTCCTCCTCTACACAGTTCCTTATCTCCTCCTTACTTACTACCATCTAAATAGCGAAAACCTCTGCCTGACGAACATACCCATTGAACTTCCCTGGATACCACCGCCTTCCAGGTATATATTCCTGCTCCTGAATACCCATCTCCCACCCGAGATCCATCAGTATTAGGGATCCCGAGGAACATGTTACCTTCCTGTTTCCACTGCTGTCTGAAGAGGAAGGTGGAAACATACTTCCTTCTTAACCTCAGCCGGTTCTCTGCTTTAATGACCCTCATAGGGACTATGACAGCGTGACCCTACTTGTCCTTCTACTTTCCAACCACCTGCATTCCTTATCTTTAGGTATGTCGCTATCGCCTCCCTCACAATCTATGAAGGGAGGGTCGGCAACCCCAGGAGGACCTCAAGTGCGGTCGTTGGAGTGGTTCTCAATGCTCCATTTGAAGTATTAACTTCTTTCTTTATTTTATATTAGATTTAAACACCTTTTAAGGTTTCGCTTTACGAAACTAATCTAAATTTTCTCAATGTTTTCGACAAGATTTTAAGCATATATACAGGGCTGGAAAATCCACATGGTCCATCTGCCTTTACATGAGAGCGACAAAGTAAAGAAATCCGTGCGATAGACAAGGATGACTATAGTGAAGACGTTTCATGGTCTGAATAGTCACCGCCCGTTTCGGGTTAGAAGTGGGAGTGACTATTCAGATTATGAAACGTCTTCATTGTAGCTATCCTTGTCTATCGCACGGATTTCTATGACTTACTTTATCGCTCTCACGTAACGGCCGATGTATCATGGCAACTTTCCAAACCTATATACTGGGTGTAACGTAAAGGTTGGGAATAAATTAAACGGTGGATTATTTGGTTTAAAAAATATTTTTTCTCATATGAAGTTATGCTCTACGGATTTTCTTTTCCAAGCTACAGGGCGCTAAAAAGTTTCAAAAAATTTAGTTTTTCTCCAATAACTTTCGAGCATTATAAGATATTCGAACGAAATTTTAGCCATAGCTTAATTTGATAATCCCCTAGTAACACGAAAAAAAATTGACTTTGTAAGTTACTCAGTGGCGCGCGTACGAATTATACCATAAGGTTTTTCGAAGAAAATTGTGGTACGCCACTGGTAAAAACATTTTTTTAATATTTTTTTATGATCTACTTTTTATTTTAAACAAAATTATCCTCTTGCTTTTTATTTCTAGCGCTTGTAATTTTTCCGTAAATAATTGTAAATACCATTTTTTCCCACTGCTAACAGAGGAATATGAAAATAACAAAAGCATTATGAAGTACGCTTTGACTCAGCCACCGAACATGGTTAAATAGGCATTGATAAAAGATTTTTGAATTGAAAATGATATTAAAAAACTAAATTTTTTGAAATTTTTTAGCACCCTGTAGCTTGGAAAAGAAAATCCGTAGAGCATAATTTTATATGCTTAATTATTAATTGCTTTATATGCTTAATTTATACCCAACCTTTATGTTACACCCTGTATACTATTTTACTGTTTATACGTTCACTTAAAACAGTGTTTACTGTATTTTGAAGGTACCTATTAAGATTATTAAAATAAAGTGAAAAATTAAGTCGAACAATATTCTTGGATTCTTAATGTAGTGCGAACTTTCATAACAAGAAATAAGCTTTCAACAAGAACGTAAAATGCTAGGTGAAAAAAATCTTTGAGCTTTGCAATTAGATTCGGTGTTTTAGTCATAAAAACAACTGTAGATTTTAATAAAACAAATAATGTTATTAAGAATCGCCTCCTTCCTTCTTCCTATTACTTTTTTTAAACATTTTCATTGCTACTAGAGTTTCTGGGAATTTTTTTATATGCCCCAGGAATCTGTTTTTTGTAATTTTATTATAAAATTTCATTATTGAACTTACATTTTTAAATCTAATTGTCATCATAATATTCCGAAAGTTATTACCTTGTCTATCTTTTAAAAAATTAAATAAATTAAAATTTATTCGAAATATTACACCAAATTCTTATTAATTTAAGTTACATACAGGGTCGGTGTACTACTTAAAACGGATTCTTTAGTAACTCTAGTAATATCAATAATACAAAAGAGTGTCTCAAATAAAATTTGCATCAAACTAATTTCTTCACATTTTAAAAGTATTTTCTCTTATAAAGGGTGCCGCTTTTCTTTCGGGTGCTACATCAAATACAATCAACCTTCTATAATATCGCATTTTTTAATTTCACATTGAACTGAATGAAAAAACAAAACACAAATAATATTGTTTGCGTCAACCTAAAAATAGCAATTATGGGCCTGAGAAGCTCAAATTTGCTATCACAAATACATTGTTTTTAAAATTTGACACAGGTAGACGCGAAATTTCCATTCCGTTTTATTAAATTATGACGGGGTTTGTTTCTTACAACAGAACCATAATTTTTTGAAAACATGATCAAATTCGTAGGCTAAGGAGAAAAAGGTTGGGGCAATGATCCTCCTAAATAGTAGGAGAATGTAAGCATATTTTTCAATTTAACCGAAAACAATAACAAAGAAAATATGAGAAACCTAGAATGTCTCGCGATCTATAAGAAAAATATCCTAACATACCAATATAAAATTAATTTTTTTATTTGTCCGTGTCAAACTTAATATAAGATAACAGCTCCACATAAAAAAAATTAAATTCACCGATCTTTCGAAGATTTTTTGAGAAACTCTACAGACGACACGATCGTCATCAGAGCGCTCCCAAAACATCTATCAGAGCAGATCTACGTCGATACATACAATCACGCAAACGAGTGCTACGCGCCTTCAAAACCATCAATAAACCACCGATCTTTCGAAATTTTTCACCGAATTTTCGAAAATTGAACCGCCGCACAGTGGGAAATACAGGAAAAAATTCTACGCGCTCGGCTATTTTAACTGTACAGTGGTAATTTCTTTTTTATTTTTCTTCAAATATGCTTAATTTTATGATCCTGCTGAGATAATTTGATATATCTATAAAGGAATTTTTTTAATCGAGCAGTGAGAACCCATTAAAGTGCAATTATTAGACTCTGAATTCCAGGACTATCTTACCCTACCTTACCCTACTAGATATACACCATTACACTAAATAGTTGCGATTGTCACCTGTAATCATTGATTAATTGAAACAATAATGATAAGTATGTACTTATAAATTCAAGTAAACAAACTGGGCTCAAGCATCACTACTTTTCTTATAAAAACTTTTCCAGTAATGCAAATTATTGCTCGTAATGATATTACATCTACACTCGCTCTCCTTATTTTTACTGGTCGTTAAGGATCGCTGTCTCGTTTAGATGACAAGTTATTTTCATCAATAGATAAGCGCCAATTAAAATAACTTGCTTTCAAATTAATTAGGCCTAGGTAGATCCGTTCTCAGGAATAACATTGAGATGTTTCTTATAAAAATTATCATACGGTATATGAAAACATATAGTAGTTAGAGAAGTTTATTTAGGAGTTAATGTTAATTTTGCAAATATGTAATAAATTACCTACTCTTTATTTTTGACATACGACATCTAGAATTAATTAAGATGATGTTAGATTGCTTTCTTATTTTATAAGTACCTAGGGATAATAAATATTTACGATATTAATTTTTATAAAACTTAACTGAAGCGACTCTAATGGTATTGCGAGTGTAATTCAAATGTCGGGGCATTAGTCCAAATAATAATTTGATTTCCTTATTTTTATCCAAATAATTCGCAATTCGTAAGTCTATTAAAAGTATCTATGAAGTAGATGCCTAACCTGTTATATTAAATTTTTTCTTAAGAAGAAGTTTGTATTCCTGTTATGTTTGTTTTTTAAATAACCACTGCAACTGTAGGAATCTAAAATGTTAAAATGTATTCTGTATACAGTACTTAGAGGCTTATGGCTCCTCTATATATTATACCCTTAATAAATAACGGCTTCAGTTTGATAAATTTTCAAAAGTGTAATAGATATTACAGTGATTTAGATTATATCAAATATATTAACAAAATACCATTGCAAAATTAAATAATTAAAATTATTCAGTGTTTTAGAGTGTTTTAGTCCAATCATGGTTTTAAATGTTTTAAGATACAAAATCTATGTAAGTTTAGCTTCATGCCCCATCTTTCGGATACTTTAGTGACTATAAATTGATTTAAATATTTCTGGTAAGAGCACTGGAAGCACTTATATTATAATACTAAAGAATTAGGAATTGTTTGGACAACATACCACTAGAGGTAGCCAAAAAATATTTATGTATATTATACCTATTTATAACACTTTCAAAAACACAATAAAGTATAAAATTAATTCAATTTATTTCCTTCTATAAATATACGCTCGTTTTTATTCCTAATATAAATTGCTGTAGTAATAAAACTAATAAATGGACAACACTTGTATATATTTCATCATAGATTACAGACAAATTCTGTTCTGTGATTTTATTGACTACCTGCAGGCTGCATTTGTACCCATTTAACTAATCCTATATAATAATTAATCATCAAAAATGGTATCCAGTTATTAATTTTTCAATAATAAACTAACACCATTAATATATTTGTGTGGCAATATCACAGAATAGTTGTTAACATATATTGTGACCATAAATTAAATAGTTAAACCTCATTTCTCCTTGTGTTGTCTCCATGGGTTGAGGGTTGACGCACGTTGACGTTTAACTTTGACATCGACATACCAGAAGTTTTGAGGTTAATTTTAATTAGGTTATTGTCTGTGGTTGTTGTATTTTTGTTTAAGTAAGAGTCAGAAAAGATGTCGGAACGTAAGGTTTTAAATGTAAGTATTTGTATAGCTTTCTTTTATGGTAAATAAAAATGATTCTCTAATATTTCAGAAATACTATCCTCCAGATTTTGATCCAGCCAAAATCCCTCGCATGAAATTGCCTAAAAACAGGCAATATACAGTACGATTAATGGCCCCTTTTAATATGAGATGTGCTACTTGTGGAGAGTATATTTATAAAGGTAAAAAGTTCAACGCAAGAAAGGAAGATGTAGAAAATCAGGATTATTTAGGCATAAGAATTTATAGATTTTACATAAAGGTAATGACTATTAGGTACATTTTAATTGTAATTTTATTTTAATTTTGTTTAATTTTAGTGCACCAGATGTCTACAAGAGATATCGTTTAAAACGGACCCTAGAAATACAGATTATGAGATAGAAGCTGGCGCAACTAGGAATTTCATGGCCTTGAAACTTGCTGAAGAACAAGCTATAAGAGAGGAAGAGGAAGCTAAGGAGGAAGAAGCTAATAATCCAATGAAATTACTTGAGAATCGCACTAAACAGTCGAAAAATGAAATAGAATTATTAGAGTCCTTAGAAGAATTGAAGGACCTAAATCGAAGGCAGCAAGTTGTGGATTATGACACTATGCTTTCTGCCTATAACACTAAGTTAACGGAACGGGAGAGAGAAGAAAAACTTCAGCAACTTGATGAAGAATATATAAAGTAAGTTGTAGATATATGTATAATTTTGTTATATACTAAATAGTTTTATTTTTAGATCTATAAAATTTCAGTCTACTCAGAAAAGAAAACTAGTTGTTGAAGAACAAATAATAGAAGAGTCAGATGAGCCAGAAGTTAAATTCACCAGACAAGAAGAAATAACTAATTCATCTGTAATTGAAAACTCTAACACATCAAAACCAATAGAAACTACAGCCACTACATCAACTGTTAGTTGGACTAAAGGTTCCCAAAAAATGTTATCCAAAAAGGGCAATTCATTGGTAGGACTGGTAAAAGTTAAGAAAGATGCCAAAGAAGCTCCTATTTCAACACAAAAAGTGTCACAAAGTGAAAGAGCGGAACCAACATTGAAAAATGATATAAAACCTGTGACTAACGGATTATCTCTATTGGGAGCATATAGTGATAGTGAAAATAGCAATAGTGATAACGATTGAAGCATTAGGAAAATTAGATGTGCTACATATTTGTATGATGGACATGAATACTTAGATATACAGTGTTACCATGTCACATGAAAAACATTTTACTAGCAGAATTTTTTACTGCCAACCATGTTTGCTTAAATAACAGTGCCAAATAGCATATGCATAAACTATTGTGCGATTTTATATAACTGCCAAATTAAAATTCTTTTTTACTACTATCATTGCCTAAATTAGTTTTTGTGGGTAAGTATTTTTTTGAATATGTTTTTCCGATACTTAAATCACTCATTTTCTGTTCCAAAATTTGTTATTAATTTAATAGAGACTGATGTACAAGAGCATACACAAAATAGGTACGTGGAATATTTTTCATTATATGTGAAGATAATATAAAGACACCTTCAATTATTCAAATAAAATAAGTAAATTAAGACTAATCTTTTGAAGATAAATTTTGTACAAGAAATGTTATGTTAAACATCTTCTCTGATTGTTATTCGGTTAGGATTTAGATAAATTTTGTATTATGTTTAATGGATTATTACTAGCTTATTTTAGTTTATTGTAAAAAAAGATATTTAAAATGCTGCTTGTGTCTAGCCCACTTAGCGCCTAAAACACTGACCATTTTTGGCATTAAACAGTAGGTGCTTAGCATTTTCTACCTTTGCTATATAAATCGTTACAATCAAATTTGATAAATAAATTATGTATTCTAAATGAGGAGCAGCTATGCAAAAGCCGATAAATCCGTGCAAACTTTTTTTAGTTAGGCACGGAAATCGCTTCTTAATAATTCAATTTACGACTTGGTCACATCTAGATTGAATAAAGAACGTTAAATTCAATGAGAAACAGCATATTAAAATAAGCGACTAACCAAAAGCAAATAAATCCATATTTTGACCAAGCAAAGAGCGTTAAATCCATGTATACTAAATTTAACAGATTTCTTTAAAAATTTTCTTTTGTTTAATTTGTTAGTAGTTTCTGTTTATCTCGAGATGGTGCAATTTTCACATACATGCAGTGCGTAAATATGAGATTGTAATAAAATAAGACTTGCCTTTATACAAAAATATTATATTTGAGACGGCCTATGAAGAACAACAGGAAGTTATATGTGATTGTTTAGAAGACGATGTTGGATTGCACATTTAGATTTTTGCATATTTTTATTTCGTTTTGTATTAAAATTTTTGTACTTTGAACCATATGTGTATAATTCAAATAAAAATGTATGGTATATTGTGTTATACTTTTTCATAAAATAAGTACAGATTAAGCAGAAGTTGGTATATCCTAAATCTGATTTAGCAAAAACCGATAAATCCATTTCAATTGAGCAGAAGTCTATCCACATTATGATTGAACAAAAGGCGATAAATCCAATTTAAAAAGTGGAATAAAATTTACATTTAATAAAATAGAACAGTAAGCAATATATATTTTAAAACCATGATTAAACTTATAAAACAAGTGCATAAAGTTTAAAATTACAGTGAATAATGTTCTAGTTACAACTTTTTCCTAGTTACCTCAAAACCACATATTATGGATTTATCGGCTTTTGCATAGCTGCTCCTCAAATATACTTTTTATTGTATCAATTTTGTGCTGACACTAAAATAATATTTACTGAGGAGCTGAAGCAGTGACAGTTGGTGATTAAAGAGGACATGTTTTGGTCTACACCCATATAAAGAACTTTAGTGATAAAAAAATGTCAAAATGAAATTTGTGAAATGAAAAATTAAAATATGGGTAGCTGAGTCTGAGATCTCGAAAAGTTTTGCAAATATATTTACAACAATTTTTTTTTTCATAATCGGTTTCATAATAACAATCAGGTGTTTTTTTATTTTCTGCAAAATTAGTTTTCAAAATTTTAATTTGATTTTAACATTCCATTTTCAAATTTCATAATGCTGTAACCTCAAGAAAAATGAAAATTTAGTGAAGAACAAGAAAATACCTGTTTGCATCTCAGTTGATTATGAAAAAAAAAACAAAAATTTGCAAATATATGTAGGTAGGTATGCAACCCTTTTTTAGCCAGCCACCAATATTTTAATTTTGCAAATTCCATTTGCAGTTTTTTTGTCATTGTAGACCTAGAAATAATCCCCTAATAAAAACAACGTTCAACGCTTCAATAGAAAAATATGATCTCTCTAATTTTTGTGAGCTGTCACTGAACTGAAGTGGATCGGACACAATATTTAGTCACAAAAACTCATTTAGGCAATTACTATAGTAAAAATAAATAATGTTTTAGAAGATTGCAGTCACAAGTGAAAAAAATAAATCAAAAAGATAAAAATCCACTTCCAGATAAATAAATGTGTTAATATATGGACTTAGTGCTAATTGCGTTTTAAATATGAACATGGTCTGATGATATGGACCCAAGAACAGTTAAAACAGAGCTTCTTGCTAAAAGGCAAAGCCTTGTAGGCCAATAAAGAACATCAAAATGTTCGAAAATGAATAAAAAATTGAAAACAATTCCTAAAAACTTTGAAGAATAATAAAATCATATAATAATAAAAAAATGTCGATGTATTTTTATGTAAATAGGGTTGGTATTTAAAATTTCTGAAAATTAATTCATTAAAAATGTTGCCATGTAGTAATGTGTATTTTATTAGTGAGAATATACAAGGAGGTCTCATACATAATGTTGCAGATCAAACTACAGTAATAGTCATTGATATTTTTTTAATAAATTTGGTCCGTTTGGGCTACTTACAGAGGTGCAACCCTGTAAAGTCCTAAAAGTAGTAAATTTGATCATTGTTCATAATTCTGAAACAGCTTAGAATATAAACTTGAAACTTCTGATGGTGTAGTACAAATAGTTGTGGGGCATAATTTAGTGATATTGCCAAAAATAAAATAAAATAATCAGTGGTGTAGATGTGGAAGTGGTAGCACCATTTTAAAAGGAAAAATTAGTAAATTTTAATCACTTTATACCATTTTTGGATATAACAGCATCTTGTCCACAAACAATGTAAATTTTTATTAGGGATATGGTTCTCGATATTACAATTTTCAATATCTCTGGCATTCATAAACACTAGATTGTGGGGAAGCCAAGCCATCCACAACAAGGAAGCGGTGGTTGACACCATCAAAGGGCAAACTGCTAGACACAATTTTGTACAGTAATGCTCATTTTGTGTTTAATGGCATATTTCACATTTGTGATTGCCCTTAAATTTTGGTGTAATGCCTTTTAATAATTTAGTAATGCATACCAATGCACTCTAATGCTCTTGTAATTCTCATTAGTGCCTTGCATTTTCCCTAAAATATCACTAGTTATCAAGTTATTTCAAAAGAAGAAACTTGTATCTCTATTCTTATTGGTGGTATGATTGTTTAATTTCAATTGGCAACCATAATCTTCTATGTATGTAACAAACCCATGGAAAATTGGAACTGCAGGTAATATTTGTTTTAAGTTTAACTATTTCTATATGTGAAAATATACTGTTACACATATAGGTTTTAGAATTCATTTATGTATTAATTAACAGATAAAAAGTTCTCTTTTTTAATTATGTTAATATAAATAATTGTGAATAATATTTTTTTAACGGCATATGCACATGGACGTAGCTAAGGGGGTAGGGGTGTCCACGGCCCACCGCAGAAAAAAAGTTCCAATAATATCATCTTTCTCATATCGGTAATTGCTGACTGCTGTACCTTTTATTTTTTTATAAAAATCAAACGAAAGAGTGTTTAGGTTTTGAAATATTATATCGTTAAGTCACATGTTTTTTTTTAGAGACCTTCATAGAGCTTGCAGCATTCAGCCCTTGACATATCTGATAGTGTAGCTTGTAAAATCAAATAGCAAAGCTGTACATAATTAGTAGATTTTGAAGATTGAATGACAAATCGTTTGAAACAAATGACAGATGAGCTATTTTTAACATCTGGAAAATTTTTGTAATACGTTTTACCTCTTTACCATATTCTTCAGCCTGACCCCCAACACAAACATTTATCAGCAATCGAGAATATAATTATTCAGTTTTTTTACGAGGATTTGTAACAAAAACTTTATAAAAATAGTTTAACTGTTATTTATTTCCATTATTTGTCATCCAAGATCCAAAAACTACTAATTAATTTGTGGACTCATATATTACAAACGATTTTTCTTTGTGGACAAGAGACTATAATTTTGAGGAATTTTACGGGATGATTAAAAGGACACCAATTTATAATTTTTTTTATTTATAAAAATGACATCACCATCTCGGCTTCTATGCTTGTGGTTATTTTGTTTTACGGCAAAGGTACTACTATAAGTTTCATGTTTTTATCTCAAACAATTTCATAATTATTAAGGAAGTTTAATTTTTCATAATTTTTATAATAATATTCATTATGGCTTTGCAACATTGGAGTATGGATTACTCTGTATGTAGATAGATATATGTACCTATAAAATGCCAAATAATTTGCATTTTATTTTAAATGTTATGTCTTGAAAATAGATAATTTTTATTAGAAAATATGGGATATGAAAAGGGGAAGTGAAACAATAGGATTACACTATTTTTTTTATTATCTTGCTATAGGTACATTGAAATGTGTATATATCAGAACAAATTTATTCTCCTGCCGAAATGCTATAATAAATATATTTTTTTCAAATCCATGATTTTAACATTATTTACTGGTAGAGAATATTGTTGTATTAAGGTTGGTAGTGTTACAAAGTCAGTATATATAATTAATTTTCATTTCATTCAACAATATAATATTGTGCAAGAAAAACTAAAATAGATTTTAAACTTATGTCTAGGCTTTAAAATAACAGTACAGTACACTAACAGTGCAGAGAAAACAATATTACCTAGACTTCTTTTTCACTTCTTCATTTGATATGCATAACAAGAAGGTCTAACTGTTGACAATGCCCACAGTTTTAGAAGAAGTTATGCCATCTGAGACTATGGGACAGTGTGATCGACACCATCAGAACTGAGAAAGGGTGCCTCAAAAAGAGTGAATTTGATGCCTAAATTGTTATAATAGGGCAGTAAAAGTTATAAATATAATAAATAATAATGTGAATACACACATCTAAAGGCATAGAAATATTAAAATTTGATGGCAAGCCCTTGCCTTGATTTTTCAAATAATATATCCTATAACACTCCTGTTATTACACTATAACTTAAAATATTTGG